GAAGAAGGTGAAGGTGCTGAAGTGCAAGGCAAAGAAACAACAAAGGCAGACGATGAGCCCAATGATGAAGCGGCTTCTGATCCACCATCTTCGGATGAGGAAGGGTCAAAGGAGGCTGAGAAAGAAGGAAGCAAAGCAGAAGAAGGTGAAGGTGCTGAAGTGCAAGGTGAAGAAACAACAAAGGCTGATGATGAGCCCAACGATGAAGCGGCTTCCGATCCCCCATCTTCGGATGAGGAAGGGTGTGGTGATGATGAACCGGGAAAGGCTAGTGGCTCAAAAGGTGAGGGCAGTAAGGAAAAAGAAGAAGATGATGATGAGGACATGGCAAGTGTCAAAAGGGAGATCCAGGAATTGAGGGAGGAGATCGAAAGAAGAGAGAAAGAGCAAAGGGATCTGCTGAATGCAGCACCGGAGGAGGAGACTGGTGATTTGCAGACCACCAGCCCTAGCCCATCAAATTCGGTTCCTCAGAGCACATCTGCCCCACATCATCAACAGGAGAATGAAGAATCAGAAGAGGAAAGCGGGCCTGAGGAAGAGGAAAATGATCCTGATGAAAGTGCGGATGAGTCACGAAGAGTACAAAACATGGAGTTGCAAACAACAGAAGAAGGGTTGCCGCTGCCTGGTGCTATGATGAGCAATGAAAAAACCGTGGGCAAGCTTGACAAGTCTGAGGTCATGCTTGATACTGGCAAGGAAAACACCAAGGTGGGTGAAGTAAAGAAAGACAAAGATGAGGCTGATTCGGATGACAACTCCAGCAGCAGCAGCAGCAGCAGCAGCAGCAGCAGCGACAGCACAGCAAGTAGTGATAGCAGCTCTGATGAAGCTGAAGCAAAGGAGGAGGTGAAGAAGGCTGGTGACTTGGTAGTTCGTCCCAAATACCCGAAGACAAACCTTAAGAGGTGGACAACTACAAGGACCTCTACTCCCTTTGTTCGTAAAGTCATCTTATCAAGGCGTAAGTACCGTCAATCTACGATCCCTGAGTGGATTGGAAAATGTCACCCTGCTGTGGCCCAGTATTTGCATAATATGTTTTTATTTTTCAGAACTGTTTTTTGTTGAGGATTATAGTTTGGGCTTGCTGAAGACTTTGCTTTCGTGGTATTCCTTTTATCTTTTTCTAGGCCGGATCTGATGACCTCGAGAACGCCTTGGAGAAAGAGATCGATCCGGTAGGTGAAAAGCGAAAATCTCAACCAGATCCACCTCTCCGTCGTGTCCGCTCCAAGCAAAGCTTCCTGGCTCAATATGTATTTAGATGTGTCCCCCATGGCAAGTATCCCAAACAATCCCCCAATAGATCATGGAGGCTGTGAGAATTGTTGGTGATGATGTATCTGTCAAGGTCAGACTGCTATCCAAGCCTCTGCCACCAGCAAAGTTGAGGTGAAGCAGGAGCCGGATGAGGCCTAGCCAATGAGTCCAAATTGATCATGGTTTAGGGATGTGCATCTCATGTGTTTTGGATTGGGTGCAAGGCCCCAAAGAAGAAAGGCAAAGAGAAGAAGTCTGTTGAGCACATTGAGAAGTTTCAGGACTTTACCTATCTATGTGGGGCTCGCTTACAATTCAGGATTTCTTGTGTGCAGCAAGAAGCTTTGAACAAGGCTGCAGGTCATCTACCTCACCCTCTTAAGCAGCTTGAACTCGTGAACCGAAAGAAAGAGAAAGGTCCCAGGGCGCAACATGCAAGCAAGGTCACAAAGGTTTTTTGTTGCTGAATATGTTTAGTGTGTGTTGTTGCTTTCTTCATATGGGTTGTGGATCAAAAATGGAACCTCAATTTGTTCTAAAGGTTGGGGTGAGGGAAAAAAAGCTGAGGCGGTATATCACCGCTGAAAAGCTTACCATGCAGGACTGGTCTGTGGAGATTCGAAAGCGGATGCAAGGGAAACATGCCGGGGACATCTACTGCGTCTTCATTGATGGCAAGGGAAACCCATACTACACCTTGATTCATGCTTGCACTATACGAGGAATTTGTTGGGCATGTCTCGGCAAAGGTATTCGATTGACATCCCAAACAATCCCAAACATGTTTATCATGATAATGAACAAACAGTGTCTCTGAGGAAAGCTGCCAAAGCAGAAGGCTATGCAGATCCAGAAGGACGATTAGATGCTGCGAAGTCCAGGTTGCTTCACTGTAATATACTGTTCTATTTTTGTTCGCTTCATGCTGCAATCCCCACACATGCTTCTCCGAGACAAAGGGACACACGCTTTCCCAAGGTTGAAGGCAGAAGCCAAAAAGGGTACTGAGAAGGGGAGTGATGGTGTAAAGAAGGAGGAAGGTGGAGAAGAATCCTCTGCCTGCCCAGCTTCTAAACAGAAGAAACGGGCTGCCCCAAAGCGAAAAACGCGGAAGTAGTTCCATATCCCTCTTTCAATAAACAAAGCGAATGAAGGCAATCATTGGTATGGCAAGGAACTCAAACATTACAAAGAATAGGGCCTAGGAGACATGATCAAACACACAAAGAACATATGCCTCTCTGCATCCCTCCAAGGGAATGTCTTTTCCGACCAAATTGGAATGGCCACTGTCTTGTGTTGAGTTCACAGGGCTGACATATGAGTTGATACCCTTTAATCGATTGTTGATTCATAATATCGATGTATAAACAGCCAAACAGCATCCCACAGTTCTTTTATTGGAAGCCCTGTGATCAGGTAGGCACACATAAGAAATGACATGTGGCCGTGACTGACTCTTTTGCAACCTGCGAGCTCGAAAGAAACATCAGCGGAAGTGTGCCAAGAGTGCGCCTGAAACTTTCCAATGCTTTGTCTTTGAGCTCACCTGGCCAAGAGACGTTCAACATCGACCTCTTTTGGCTTCCAGCACTTCATCGAAGCAGGGTGGGATTGGATTGGCTAAATTGGCTGGCCATGGATCCGAGGAACTTGCTACTTATCTTAATGTACTTAGCGCAGATCCCTCGCTTGCCAAGTGAGGATGCCCTGGATGCCGCATCTTGGCTTCCAAAATTCTT